CTTTATGTTTATGGCGGGAGCATACAAATGATATTGCACGGGAGCATAGTTGTCAACCTCTGAAACCTGAGATCTCCCTCATTCCTCATTTCCAATAAGGAAGGAAGTGCATGAAACACGACTGAAACTGCTTTGCTCAATTTATCTTTCCCTTTTTATGTATCAAATAACTCTAAAAAACATTCATTTGATTCAGACATAACTGTTATGATCATTACACACTGCAGTAACTAGATCATTTTACCACAGAATGTAGATTATTAGTTTGTTTGAATTTTGACTTGAATGAGGGAGTTTCCAGGGAGATTGGAAAATTATGGTCAAAATGAAGGAGTCTGCCTCCTAATGAGGGAGGGTGGACAGCTATGCGAAAGTGAGGCCAAATCAAAAGAATGAATCTGTGGTATCTGACTTTGACTGTTGTCCTAACCAAACAATCTATAAAAGTGCCGATACTGCTATACCTTTGTACGTTCCCATGTCTGGGCTTGTCGACTGAGTCAGTGTGGTCTCTATGGAAACCAACATCAAAACAATGATACCAACAACTTTGATAAACAAATTAAAAACTTTCTTCTATCAGACAACGAAGCTATATACTTGAGTAAAAGACACCAGCTCTCAGTCAGGATCATGTATAAAAGAGATTTTAAAAAATTCTAACAAATATACAAAAATAAAATCAAACACCTCCCACTATTTACATCATATGATCATCAAATTAGTTTTGACTTCAAACAACCTTGACCTTGTACTGACCTGCCACAGGAAGAGCAGTTGTCTGTATCAACAATCGCGGCAGCAGCCATTTCTCTGCATCCTCATCCCATCTGCATTCCTTCCGTATCCTGTCCAAGTTGCTATAGTTACAGTCCCTTCTCAGACAGGGATGAATTTTTTCCAACAGACCCTGAACAAGCTGTAGTTGTTTCTGTTGTTGGCGAATCGTGTCCAGATAATCAATTTTCTCAAACTGAAACTCTGACTGTATGTCAATAATCTCTCGTTCAAGGCCTTCTACCTGGAAAGGGCGAAACATCTCAATGTATGAACAAATGGAAATGGGAGAAGAAACAACATTTCTACTGTATTGCTCATTGAAGTTGAGAACTATTTCATACAGTACTTGACCAACTTTAGCTGATCAATGCAAAAAAATATTCATCTTTCCAGGACGACGTCTTACAGTGAGTGATGTCGTCATAAGCTTCGGTACCTTCGAGTGTGGTGTTAGACTTGCACAAGACAGATATTTAACAAATTAATAAAAAAAAATATCAATATCGCACTGAATGTAAAAGGATAGAATCCTGTTTTGTTAAGGTTTATTTGGTATAAACCTCAATGGGTCTTGAGACAAATTCAATATATTTACATTTCTACTGAACTTGGACTCAATATACCTACTTAACATTTTAAAGGTTATTTTTCAATGAACTTTTTAGTTGGCGTATAAATACATCAGCATATTATCAACCTGATTACTCTGTTATTCCGCGGAACGCGGGAAGTAGTTCCATTCTTAGATTGTTTTAATTTTATTTATTTTTTGTCAGAAGTATTCAATTGAATTCAAAATATAATTTACATCTTAATTTGCTTAATCATCTTACCAGGACGACGTCTCAAAAGTGAGTTATGACGTCATAAGTTTTGATACCTTCCGTGGTGTTAGACTTGCACAAGACCGATATTTCAGAAATTATCCGAACAAGTATCAATATCACTCTGAATGTAAATATAAGGATAGAATCCCATTTTGTTGAGGTTTATGGGGGATAAACCTCAATAAAACAGAATTCAATCCTTAAATGAACTGTGATTCATAAAATTTGTCTCAAGACCCATTGAAGTTTATACCCCGATAAACCTCAACAAAACATGATTCAATCCTTAATTACAAATGATTTTATTCTTTTTTGATAGACGGTACAGGGTGAGAACTGTGAATTATACAAACCCTCTCTTTTTCCTTCTCCAGAAGTGCTGTTTTTGCCTTCACCTCGTCCTGAACATTGTCATATATCTCCAACATTATGTAGTCATCGTCCATGTTTATGATGGCCTCTGGGATATCAAATCAAATTGAGTTATTCTCTTTTTCATCATAAATAAACACGGTCCATATTCCTGAAACCATTCTCATGCTCAAACATGGGTAATGTGCTCTAAATACAAACTTTGTTGCAACTTACTGAAATTATGTGACACACACAGTCAAGTTTAAATGCTGAAAACTGTATTCAGCTTCTGAAGTCTCTCAAAAATTTGTCAAAAACATTAACAAAATATGAATTTATATAAATGTTTCACCCAATAATGAAAATGGGCTTGGGCATACTGTTCATGTTTTTGGTAAATTTAGTTTCATCAAGATATCTTTAACAATTTAAACCTTATAGCCCTGACAAGCTTGTAACAAAAAAGATTCCTGTACACTGGAAGGTCCATCAAGATTTCATCGTAATTTAAAAACTATGACTTATTCATTTCATAAAACCAATACAAACAAAGCATGTCCCTTTAGTTGAAGGGGAGATAATCAAAAGTTGAAATTATCATTTATTGTTGCTTTTAATTACATCATAAGAGATTGATATAAGCCTGGAACTGTTTTCAATCAGCACTATGACTGAAGATACAGAAAAATATAACGAACTGCACAATCTGTAAAAAACCCAGACTGAGAACGCATGACGATTGTTGTAAAGATCAGGATTAAGAACGTACCAGCCAACTTCTGTTTTTGTTCATCTGCAAATTTCATGCGTTTCTTCCGTCTGTTTTTCACCTCGGGGTTGTTTTTGTTTTCCCCACCAACCATCTGCTTCTCCAGCTCCTGAATCCTGTAAAACCAGGAACACAGTCATATACCACTTATTACCATCTAGTTATGCAATGACACACAAATCCGGTCACTCAGTACAGGGAATGAATCTGGACCCTGTAAATGGGATTCCCTCAAGGACCATGAACTTGTGTGTGGGATGAATCCTGGCTTTTTAGAGAAATAAACTCGGACTCTGTAGAGAATAAACTCTAACCCTAATTGGGATGAACCCTGACCCTGAAGAGAGTGATGAACCCTGACCCTGTAAGAAGGCACGAACTCTAACCTTGTATAGAGGGATGAAGACTGACCCTGTGAGGAGGAATGAACTCTGACCCTGTACCTTTCACTCTGGTTGAAATGAACTCTGACCTTGTATATTGAGGGATGAACCCTGACCCTGTAAGGAGGAACGAACTCTGACCCTGTACCTTTCACTCTGGTTGGAATGAACTCTGACCTTGTATAGAGGGATGAACCCTGACCCTGTAAATGGGATTCCTTCAAGGACCATGAACTCAATGTATGTGGGATGAATTCTGGCTTTTTAGAAAAATGAACTTGGACTCTGTAGAGAATGAACTCTAACCCTGTAGATTGATATGGATGAACCCTGACTCTGAAGAGAGTGATGAACCCTGACCCTGTAAGAAGGCATGAACTCTGACCTTGTATAGAGGGATGAAGACTGACCATGTGAGGAGGAATGAACTCTGACCCTGTACCTTTTACTCTGGTTGGAATGAACTCGGACCTTGTATAGAGGGATGAACCCTGACCCTGTAAGGAGGAACAAACTCTGACCCTGGACCTTTCACTCTGATTGGGATAAACTCTGATCCTGGAGAAAGTGATGACCCCTGACCCTGTAAGGAGGAATGAACTCTGACCCTGTATATTGGAATGAACCCTGACCCTGAAGAGAATGATGAACCCTGACCCTGTGAGGAGGAATGAACTCTGACACTGTACCTTTCATCCTGATTGGGATGAACTCTGATACTGGAGAGAGCGATGAACCCTGACCCTGTAAGGAGGAATGAACTCTGACACTGTAGATTGGAATGAACCCTGACCTTGAAGAGAGGGATGAACCTTGACCCTGTAAGGAGGAATGAACTCTGACACTGTAGATTGGAATGAACCCTGACCTTGAAGAGAGGGATGAACCTTGATCCCAAAGAGAAGGTAAAGCCTGACCGTGTAAGACAGGATGAACTCTGACCTTTTATAGAGTGATGACCCTTGACCCAGTAGAGAAGGCTGAACTGATACCTTTTCATAGCCTCTTCCTGTTGAAGTTTCAGGTGTTCCTGCATGTTTGACTGGGTGGGAGAGGAGCTAGGTGCCACAAGTCCCTCCTGTTCCCCGACCCTTCCTCCTGCTTGCATTCCTTCCATGCCCTGACCAGCCTGGCTGACCTGTCCCTCCTCGCCTGGTAACACTTGACCATCTTGGATCTCACCATTTTGAGATGGATATTGTTGTTGAGGCTTTAAGAATAAAAAGATTTCTGACATGAATTCTCAGTTCCTACTCAATCTTACAGGGGTTGTACTTAAAAAATCCCAACACATTAATATCTATCCTGTCATTTTATGCAGCATGCATTTCTATTTTTTTACTTCTCAACAACAATAATAATAAGCACTGTCCAGTACAATTAATATAAATAAATCATTTTAATTTTGTATATATATTTTTTCAATTATTTACAAAGAATAATACAAATGGTATTCCTTTTGCAGTATCTTTAGTAATATTTCATGAAAGTAAAATCATCAAAATCAGAATCACTTTTACATGTCTCCTGAATGCTTAAATTTCCTCAGACAGATGATTTAATCAATTTTTTATTTAATACACTCACAGGAACATTGCTCTTGATGACCACTTTGCTCAAGTCTCCAGTAGTACCTGTAATATCATCCACAGCATGTTATTAACAGCCTGGTCATAAAGATCACAAAAATAACACCAATCATAAAAATCATAAACATAACACCGATCACAAAAATCATAAAAAAAAAAATCATTATCCAAGAAATATTTTTTTTTTTTATCTTTTTTTACTTCCATTTTGCCCTATATTCATTCATTTACAGAATTCATTTTACTCACAATTTAGATAATTAACTGTTTTACATCATTGCGAATTCTTGAATTTTTTCCCACTTATTTACTTTTGACCTGCCAATCAAGTTTTAACCTTGACCTTTGACCATAGTAGCTTGCACTTATATTTTGTTTACAAAACAATAGAATGTTACACTTGGTGTTTTAACTGATTTTCAATTATTTATCAAAAAGACAAATTTGTATTTCCTTCAAAACTGAAATATATATTACCTGCACAATAACAATTTCTTACATGTACTTTTAATTGAACTGACTTTTCAAAAAAAATACATACCAGGTACATGTATGTACAAACGTAAATAAGGATTTTCTTATATTGATTTAAAGTAAAATAGAGCGAATTCCCCTTGTAAAAATCTTAATATTCATGCATTTTTGAATAAATATCATATTTAAAAATCATTATGCACCCTGTTTTTTTTTTGGGGACATCATTAGCACCATAGTCTAATGATAAAACTTAGTAAAAAGCTGTAGCAGTGTACTTGTATAATGTAACTCTATCTAGCCAACTACCAGGGGTTGTATACTTGTAAATTGTAGCTCCAACTAGCTAACTAGTAACTATAGGATGACTATTCCGTCTTTGCATATTGCAGAGTTATCTTCTCTTGCGAGCAGGTATTGATTGTTACATCACTTGTTTGTGAGAGTAACATCATCAATTTTTGAGAAAACGACGTAATTTTCTCGCACAAACCAATGACGTAACAATCAATCCCTGCTCCCAAGAGAAGATAACTCTGCAATACGCAGACGCAATATCCAATGTTAAGTTTATCATCCAGACAATATGTATAAGCGAGTCCTTATCTAACAGTTCTATAAATAATCTTTACATATCATCATGCCATGCACTATAATGTACTATACAAATTATACTTATGCCATTTTACAGATGAAATTTTAGGGCTAAATGCTGAAAAAAAGTAATTTGCAGGACAATTTCAAAAATCTGAATCACAAAAATTGTCAATAAATCAGAAAGATTTCTTGAGAATGTTTGGAGGAAATGTTTTTTGGCCTGAAAAAGTAAAAGAAAGTTGTGATAAGAAATAATGAAATGATAGACAAGAATTCAATGGTATGGTAGACTGACGGAATAATAATGCATGATATTTCTTTTCGTATTAATTTATCTATAAATACAAAGAATGTCTTTTTTCTCCCACCTTTTGTATCCCACATGGGTGCACACAGTGATCTGTACTATAATGACGTCACAATCAGTTGACAGAATTTTACTATGATGTCACCATTCAAAATGCCTGCCCTGAAGGTCTCACACGAATCTTTAAATTTACCATGCTGTTTTGTCTGTTTACCAATTATGGCCTTTTAAAAAGTTTGTCTATATGTAATCTAGAAATTTTGTCATATTTAGTGTTGTATTTGCGTTGTCCATGTCTTGTTTTGATCAAAATTCCAGCTAAGAGGTGGGGAGAAAAAGACTCAATCACTATGTAGGTATGTGGGATATGAATATTCTACCCTCGGGTGGAGAATTTTGGTGTCAGAACCTCGGCAAAGACTCGGTTCTAACACAAATTCTACACCCTCAGGCAGAATATCCATTATCCCAAATACCTACATACACATAATTCAATCTATTTCTCTCCTAGTAATTCACTCATCAAAACAGCAATGATTCATCAGGATTGATGACTAACTAGAAATTGATGATACTGAAAAGAGTGTGTTACAAGGATGCCAAAACATTCAGTCATATAGAATGTGAGATTCTGAGAAAAAAAGAAAAAAAAAAAGTTTTGAAGAGATTATAGACAACGATGAAACTCTCAAAGATGAAAATTGTGAATGTTTGAAAGACCATAGAACTCCCAAGAAAAACAATGACCTAGACATCAGGGAGACACACAGAGCAAGGATTCAACACAGAGTGTTGGGAAATGTGAATGATGATCATTGTCGAAAATGTAAGGGTGACTGCCGCAGTCAGAGCAGGTGCCTTAACTCATTGACCCCTGAAGACACATTTGGACTCTTCCAATCTAAAGGTTGGAATAGTTCATTATGAAATTTCAGGGGTGAATGAGTTAATAAAGAAGACTTAAATTTGTTTATCATTTATTTGTGTGCGTGGGGAATTTGTGAGTTATGATATTATATAATGGAGATTAAAGTAAAACTCATGGTAATGTGTATTTTTATGACATGGCATGATGACAATAGTGAAACTTGTGGGAAATTTTGCGTTTTATAACGACAAATTGCACCACACATGGCAATAGTGAAACTCATGGGAAATTGAGAGTGATGACAGTACACATGACGGACATGTCGCGACTTATGAGTGTAGACAATAAGACCACGGAGACCCCTGAGAGCAGACAGTGTCCTACCTGGGCCTTCTGGCAAAGCGGCCCCCATTACAGAGCTGGGACGATCTTCCTGCTGGTCTTCACTGAAATCCTCCTCATCTCCAGTCCTCGGTGAATCAAAATCCTCATCGCTGCCAACACCCCCCAGGGACCCTTCCCCTTCATCTGCCCCTATCCCAGAGGCAGAACCCCCTACCTCGGGGGCAGAACCGTTCTGTTGAGGACCAGCCCCATTTTTTTTGGAGGTAACCTTTTTTTTCGTTTTTTTGCCAACAGCAATGCCAGCTGCTTTCCCGGCCACTGCTGTACCAGCTACTTGACCTTCACCTCCTTCATCGCCTTCACCGTCAGCATCATTTACTCCAGCTGTTCAAAGTTAAACACAAGTGTGTACAGTCACACATAAAATGATGATGCAGCAATTAGTGTATTTCTGTTATTTCTATATCATTACAAAACTGCTAAGTACTTCTAATTACAAAAGCATCTGGCAGAATAATTAGTATATAATATATAGTTCATGCATATATGTGTTCTTAATCTACTGCTCAGCAACTTTTTGAAAATGTTCAGTATCAGAAAAATATCAAAGGCAAACAGTTAATCAATTTAAAAATGGAAGCTTAACACAGACGCCAAAGTCGATCGCCATGAAACTGAAAAGAAACATTTAGAAAGCGTTCATTTAAACATTATCTATTGTAAATTAAATCCAGGTTGCTTAGAGATTTAATTAATATTGATACAGCACAGTCTCTCGGTTGTTCATAGACTTCTCTATTATAACTCATTCACCCCTGAAGACACATTTGAACTCTTCCAATTCAAAGGTTGGAATAGTTCATTATGAAATTTAAGGGGTGAATGAGTCGATTAATTATTCACAAGAAATACATTTTGTGCTATGAACTGTATTAATATTTTGTGCACATTTCAAGAAGATATATTAATTGATTATTTTTCAGACAATGTATGCCAGTCCATTAGATGATCAAGTTAATGGAACAATTAATGTAGATCTGGACACCCTGAAAGAGAATGTGAGTAATGGATGAAAGTGGGGATCATTTTCAGAAATTCTTATTTTGAATTAATATTTGAATGGGAAAATTATTATCAATAATGAGTTTAATACATAAATATCAATTTTGTATAGATACTAGTGTTTAATTGTTGAATATGTAATACAATTTAACTTAAACAGATTGTGTGTATACCTGGAAAATAACTTTGTTCATTATATATATATTGCGCTGATACTTTGGAATTCAAATGTTTTTATGAGAGAAAGACTGCACGAACATATTTGAATATCTCAAAAAAAAGAGTAAATTTTACCTTTTAAAATGCCTATGGTTGCTTCTCAGCTATTCAGATTTTTTTCCTCCAATTCTAATTATTGGCGAAATGAATTAATTTTAACTTATAACCATTCTATATAAATATCTAAAATTCTTAAAAAATACTTTCACGAGGACATGAGTCAGCTGGACCAGTAGATTGGATAGGAACATTAATACACATACCAGCAGTGCTGATAAAAGGAAACAACAGTATACAATTAATACAGGAAATTTCTTACCAACTTAAACAAAAAATCCACAAATATGTTCCAGTTCATAGGCTGTACCATTTTAACAAAGAAGGTTTCTTTAACTCATTCACCCCTGAAGACACATTTGAACTCCTCCAATTTAAAGGTTGGAATAGGTTATTATGAAATTTCAGGGGTGAATGAGTTAAAGTAATCTTTTTAAAAAATTCTCTGCAGCTTATAGGATATAAAAAATGTGTTAAAAGAACCTATGTCCTATTGAACAGTATCCCTCCTCTTCTCTTGTCAAAAAACTCAAAAGAGCAGTTTGGGGATGAAAAGTATTTCTTTTTTAATTTATAACAAGTAAGAAAGTTATAATATCCATGATGTGCAAAAGTTACTTTTTGTTTAAATTAATTTGATCATGGTCTACTTCACTTCATTTACATATATATATAATTGAAATCCATGTAAACTATCATGTTTTTTTGTTTTTGTTGTATAATCGCTCTTTATTGATTAATGCATGCACCAGGCAGATATATTTTTCCCTTTTTTTTATAGAAAAATTACAAAAAGCATATGATGTTTGGGTATTCCGTCTTTGCGTATTGCAGAGTTATCTTCTCTTGAGAGCAGGTATTGATTGTTACGTCATATGTTTGTGAGAGTAACGTCATCAATTTTTGAGAAATCCACGTAATTTTCTCACACAAACCAATGACGTAACAATCAAAACCTGCTCACAAGAGAAGATAACTCTGCAATACGCAAAGACGGAATTGTCACTAACATAATATTGGAACTCCCTCTCTTTTTTCAACTTAAACAGAATTATTGACTTTGTATATGTCAATTGGAATGGACATCAGGATAGGCCCATTTAATTAGGACCTTTCCATTATTTACAAACATTACATTTATATACTGTCATAACAATCCAAATTAAGAGTGTAGGGGAGATAACTCCAATTTAATTGTGAAATAAATACTTTTATAATTTTAATATTAGCAATTAAATAAATCGTGTATATTTGTTGACAACCCACCCTATATAAAATACAAGTGATACATTACATATTATACCTTATATTACAGTGTCATGTGTAGTAAATTAAATAGGTCTTATATATTTCTAATCTGTAAACATCGAAAGTGTCCTCCTTAAATAGTTTTCAACATCTAGAAATTCCAGAAATTTAGTCAAAATTCGAAAATTCAAATCACCTGTCGAGAGCAAACTTTTAGTGATGCCAAATGCCAACACTCACAATCTTAAACAGGAAATGAGAAGAAACAGCAACTTCAGAAAAAAAGACAATCTCAAGAAGCGGAAAATCGTAGTATTAAGCAAAGCCGCGGAAAATCAGCGGATTGCCAAGAAGTGCTTGAAAGATCAGTGAGCATCACTCGGTATACGTGTGGAGGTAGCTGTTCACACAAAAGATGGCTGACTTGTGAGAGGTCAAAGGTTACACTCACACTTACCCGCGGACCCCTGGGACTGTTTGCCCCCTACGGTGGCATCATGCCACTGTTCCTCATTGCCCTCCTCACCGATTTTAAGTACTGAACATGGAGAGAATCAAAGACCTTATTACGGTACATGTAATCGGAGAAAATCTTATAAAAAAAAATTGAAGTCTTATAGGGCAACTATGCATAATCATCTATAGTCTTTCCTCAATCATCAACCACAAAAAATTGTAAAGAGATTTTTTTTACAATTGGTTAATAAATAATTTATATACCTATATTGAAAAGATACCTATATTGAAAAGATTTTTTTTTTAATTTTAATTTTTAATTTCATATTTATTAAGAATTATTATGAATTTTGTAGAATTAGAATTCTATTGGATATAAATGACATTTGGTTTTAAAAAACTGTTTTCTCTAATTATTGTTCGTTTGAATATTAAAACCAGATTTATTACTAGCCAGAACATTTATAAAAACATATATATAAATCAGTCAAGCTTGGTTAAATTGATCGATTATTTTTTCAACTGCCAATAAAATCAAACACCGCAGACATATACTGAAAAGTAGGCAACCATCAGGAAAGTGTGAATCACCATGGTTCATATCTAAATTGTATTGAGTTCAAACTCCGTTCTCGCCGTGCATTTTTCCTTTCCTGTTACAGTAGCTCCTGCAGAACATTGAAACTTGAGTAGACTCTCTATCTGGTAAACAACCATTGGTACCAGATATTTTTTATTTGTGCACAAAGATTTCCAAAAAGAATAGAGTTTTAAGCAATGTCGAGAGCCTCACAAGAACATGTCGGAACCTTGCTGTTACTGTTACTAGAACGGTGACCGCTGAAAAGAACCCCTACACTACACAATCATTTTCTTCCTATTAAATTACATTATAAATATTATTCAAGCAAATAGTGATCTGAAACTCATGTATCAAAACCTCAAAATTGTGTGACCAATTCGTTTACATACTTGCGAATTCTCCCCATTTTGAGGGAGACTCCCGATTTTGAACCAATAAATTAAGCATTTTCAACCCGTGAATTTGCTGAACTATTCCTATTTTTTAAGATATGATTTCATCTGAAAGGATAGCTCAAAGGATGCCATTTAAAAGTGCTCTTTTTTCCCTAAAAAATACACACATTTCATTTATGTTTTTAAATTCTGAGCATGTGTATAATCCCCCCCAGGAAAATTTTAAAAAGTTGCCAAGTATGCAATTAGTGTACTACTAACAAATCCGAAGATACAAGATATATATCTAGTTATTTTTTAAGGACTGGACAACAAAATATACAATAATATTCTCTGTGTCACAATTTATTTTGAAAGTAAAACTCAATATTGCTATTAAGGATCCCTGTCCCACCGCAGGAAAACATTAGATAATTCCATGGTAGTTTTCGTATATACTGTAATCTAGCACCCCTTAATTTTGTTTTTGATATAACTTTAACCCATTCACCCCTAAAGTGACATTTGAACCCTACCAAATCAAAGACTGGGCAAGTCCAGTTTAGATATGTAGGGGTGTATGAGTTAACATGACTGAACCAAGATACTTCTGTTGGACAGAAAGCTAAGTTAGGTATAGAACAATACACCATAGTACCGAGTATAATGATTTCAGATCCAGTGTTCAAATTCTGGTCTGGCCTGTTCAATTTTTACAATCAGAAAGTCCCACATGATTTATTAAAGCTATCATCACGCCTGAAATAAAGTCTCCTATGTGTAATAACAGTTTCTGGCAGTGGCACAGGTATCTTTAACTCATTCACCCCCTAAAGACACATTTGAACTCTTCCAATTCAAAGGTTGGAATAGTTTATCATGAAATTTCAGGGGTGAATGAGTTAAGTCAGACTTCAATAAAAAAAAATCTTTAAAAAAAAATAAAAAATTTAATGTTAACGAATGTTAATATAATTGCAAGAGATTTGAAATGTACTGTAATTCAGTATATAGCCATTAAGATTTTACAAAACATGGATATTTTTATGAAGCAGCACTGAAACATTTTTTTCATTTCATGTCGTTATATTCAAACAACACACAAGTAGCACATCATAGGAATATTGCTTCAGTCAGTACTGAAATACTTCAAATGACGGTTCAATATCAACTGCAGTGATATAACTGTTTCCGGGGTATATATAATTGGCAGTTTAGTATTACTGCAATCAGTGGTGTATACTTTCTTGAGTATATTTATACAAGTGACAGTTCAGTATCAATGCAGGTGGTACAATTTTTTTCCGAGTATATATATAGATATTTATACAAATGGCAGTTCAGTATAACTGCAGTGGTGTACCTTTTTCTGGAGTATATATATTTATATAAGTGGCAGTTCAGTATAACTGCAGTGGTGTACCCTTTTTCTGGAGTATATATATTTATATAAGTGGCAGTTCGGTGTCACTGCAGTAGCGTAAAATTTGTCAGGGGTACACATTTGTTGTATAAGGTATTTCAATAGTACAGTGGATCCACTTAATAAAGCCATATTTTGGTTAATATCATGTTTTCGGTCTTAAAAAATCATTGAAATGAGGCATTCCAGGGCGTCAATTTGCCATGTCAAGCCTGAAACTGGTATATCAACAATTTTATCGTGATAGTGAGGGCAAGCCTGAAACTGGTATATCATCAATTTTATCGTGATAGTGAGGGCAGAGCCAGAAAAGCTCAGAATAGTTTAACATCTAAGTTTGGTACATTCAAATTCAGCAGCGTTCTTATTCAAGGAGAAACTCTGGCAAATATTAAACAGGGAGCAGAAATGTGAGTGATATACATTCAAAACCATATTACACACTGAGCGGAAATATCGAATCACAATACAGGCATCATAACATCAGCATCCATGAATGAAAACCACATTCAATTTAAGCTATATCTTTACACATTAATCTACTTTCAAGTTCCATATGTCGATTTTATTTCAAGTTACACGTCATACAGAATCTGTTTTTATTCCTTTCACCACTGTGGACCACATTGGACCCATCCAGATAAATGTATGGTAGAGTCTACTAAAGTTACGTAGGGGTGAAAGGGTTAAGATGAAATCCAATCATTGTGCATTCAGTGTGCTTATAAGGTGTGTTTGCAGAGACAGCAGTGCAACTCAATGTCATATACAAGAATATGAAACAGCTGGACAGTAACACACTTTTGATTCAAAGACAATAAATTACCAGACTACAGTTATTGAAACAATATCATAACCCTTCTACAATATATCCGAGGTATTTTCTTAAAAAAATAGACTTTCTTCAAAAATAGATTGTTTTTTTAAAAAAAAAAAATCAAAAAATTAGATTTTCTTAAAAAATTAGACTATCTTCAACTTTGCTTCATTATCTAGGAGGATAATATCATATTGCACTATAACCTAATAAATCTTGATAAAGTTGATATAAGAAATGTGTATGAAGTAGCTACTGATATATTCTCTACAATATTGTCCACAATAACTAGGCCTCAACGTGTTCACTTAATTAATATATTGAATTAATTGATTTGTTTACCGATAAATATTTGTTATTTCTTCACTAAACAGAAAAAAGCAATTGCTGCTTGATAATTAAAAATAAATAAATTAAGGACTGATTAAAATTACACGCAACCTTTTCAACTAAAGACAAAAAAAATGGTAAAATATTTATCACAAAAACAGAGTTACATAAAAGCTTGACATTGTGAGAGAAAACACATGCAAACAGTGCACAAGTTCACACAAGAAGGCCCAACCTGCACAAAACTCCTAAACAGATCTTTTTGAGAATACTTTTTAAACTTCAGTCTTTGAATAATATTACAGTGCATCATATTATAAATGTTGTAGGTAAAATGTGATTTTATTGATACTTCTTGGCCTAATTTGTGGATTTTTAAACAAAGATCAAGAATATTTCAGAACACACGTATTCTCAAAAATATTTGCAGAAGCTTTGTGCAAGTATCAATTAAAGAACAAGGCATGATTATCTGCTATTGGACCAACCTATCATTTTGATTGTAGATATTTGTTTCTTTCACCTTATTTCAATACTAACAGGTCACATATGACAAATAACATTGCCCGGAATTACAAATGTTGACAACATTTTTGTAAGTAGTGTTAAACATGTTTGGTAAAGAACTTATCCAAACGTCAATATCAGATTTAAAGTCAACAAACGACTTAACTGCACACCTGTTTCCTAAATCCATTTGACCTTTGTGATCTTGAAAATAGGTCAAGGTTATTCAATTGAACAAATTCAATAGCTCTTAACCCCAGGATCTTAACAGGATCAATATCATCTGATCCTTCCAACCGTTAAAGTCGGTCGAAATTACTCGACTGAACAAATGTTCAAGCTTTAACCTGAGTCTGATAAAGGACAAATATCATTTGAATCTTGTGACCCTGAAAGTGGGTCAATATTTTTAACTGAACAATCAAAATAGCTTGTTACCCCAACAAGACACCAGACAAATATCCGAAATCTGGAATTAAGTTCTGAAGAAAACTTTATTTGAAAGTTTTAAACACATTTGACCTGTGACCTTGAGAGAGAATCAAGGTAATTTTTATCTAAACAAATCTGATGTTCAGTAAGCCGCATGCCAAATATTCTGACTCTAAGACGCATGTTTCTCTAGAAGAAGTTGATTTTTTAAGGAATGTTAATGACAGACAGCAGACCATCACACATTGTTGTGCCTGGTATGCTGAAAACAACTCTTTGATGTTTTCGAAAAGCTACATTTCGAGTCCTTTCCGAAACTTTACTTTCCTGAACAAGGAACAGATGTGCATGTTTAAAAATATGAATTTTGATGATGAGTTAGGCCCAATATCATACCTTGTCCTTTAAACTTTAAATTTGTATTCAACCCAAACATGTGTTAGACTAATATTTGTTTCAACCCATAGCAACAAACACATGCAATGCAGGTAGGTGGTCATGGATAGGGGTGAAATGGATGATTGGCACTCACTAGCTCCTCCCTTGTCTCCGCCTCCCTCCTCCTTGTTCCACTCTATCTCCCCCAGGACTACACATCACCAACACAGGACAAAACCATCAGACCAAAACACAGTGATTTGCATATGACCTGCCTACATTTGATTGCCAGGCAGACTGGCCAATCAGTAGACAGCAGTTGCATGATTGACAGTTACACTGACAAAACAGCACTGACTACGAAAGACAGGCTGAACCCAACACATACTGAACTTTGTCAATTTCTTTGATGGACTGTACATTTTTTGATAGACTTAACAAAGTCAAATTAAAACTACATCAAATGATACATTCGCATGATGTGTATTTGAAATTTTAAGAATGGAGAACTTTTCAGGGCCGCAAAATTAAAATTTGAGATTTTTTCAAGGCAATTTTCCTGATCATCATGTTAATTTTTGTGACTTTCTTTTTCACAGTATGTGTTAGGTAACTTCAACCCCTGTCTTAGGCTGGGTCATCTGGCTTAATTTTACAGATTTAAAACTACTTATGAATGATGGTTATACAAGGATGGCAAAAATGTATGAGGACAAACAAAACCAGATATATTTTAATCTTTCTGTTCAGTTTCATTTATTTTACTACCTTTTAAAGATTTTTATTTTTTTTAAATATTATTGTCTTTCTCAAAATGCAATTTAATGTGATTGCAAATATTTTCATCAATTATTATAGATTTAGTTAATAAAATCATGTCTTCTACAACAGAATACAGTTAAGTGGGTTTTTTTCTTTGGTTTCAAATTTTTGCAATTTTTAAGGTAATATTGTTTTCTGCCATTTTTTGTACCCGCAAAACTTCAAGCAGATTAACACTATGTGTCATGGGCACTGGACCTGAATTCTCGAAAAAAAGCAGAACCTTCAAAATTGACAATTTTAGCAAACCCGAGAAATATTAGGGACTATGAAAATAGACTTTTAGTTAATCTGGTTTTGCTTATGCGATGAATTATGAGAAAATTATTAACACAATTAATTACAAAATTACAGCTAGATATATCAATATTATGGAAAAAAATAGCCATGCATATTTTATTGAAACATTTAACCCTTTCACCCCTATGTAGCTTAAGTAGACTCTACCATGCATTGATATGGATGAGTCCATTATGGTCTACAGTGGTGAAAGGGTTAATACTGACGTTACTTTTACTAGCACCGATCAATCAAAGTCATTAACCAAACACCTAAATTAAACCATCAAGCATCTAGAAATCCCATTCACTAATGGTAATTATAAACAACACGCAACAAAAACGTCACAAAACAGTGTGTGTGCACTATTTGACATGTCGTATATTATTTTGATAATTAATTGAAACTAAAATTTAGTTCAAAATAAATTCTAAATTTCACTAGGTTTTACTACAAATCTAGTAAAGCATGCTGTTAAATGTTGGAAAGGCAACTATAAAAATACTGCTTGAAATTTAGAAAAATAAATAAACAAAAATAGTTGCAAAAATATACTTTTCTAAATAAAATTAAATAAAATCTACAATACTTAATGGTGTGATAAATATTTTTGTGGTATTAGAAATGTTTTTTTAAAAATAAAATATTAAAATAAAAATACAATTAAGCATGAAAGCATTCGTTGAAAATATAGGAAATGTTTCTATCACTGAAATAAAAAGCCCATTAGTAACAAACATATTTGTATATCACCATCAAATGTCAACATAAGTACGTAAGTCTGAATCTAACTAACACAGAGCTCTGTTAAATCTGGCGCTAAACTATCAACATTACATGCTGCTTTAGGTTATATTGCAAATTTATGACTATTTTATTGTCAAACTTCAAACCCCAATACTTCCACAGTATCAACAATCAAAATATCATATTACAATTTCTCAAAAATTTAATATTATGAAAGATGTAACCTTTTTTTTTAAAGACGGTATCACTAAGTTGTTGGGTGATGGCACGTTCCTTGCTCACATACAGAGGGTAACATACAGAAAACACCAGAATCCAAACATCTTTATATATTTCCACCTCATTGGACGAACAGTTTGGTATAATATTGGTATGGTTCTGTGTTACATTACAAGATTACAGAATGATCTTTTTTTTTGTAAAATTTGTTAGATTAAAGAAGATCCAGCAAAACTATATAGGTGATGTTTCAAATGATATTTAATATCTTATTAATCTAAGCAATAATATTTTTGTGTGGAGTATTAAGATTTAAAAGTCGATTTCTAGCCTACGTTTCACAAAAATAATCATTGGACTACTTAAAACCTTGTATTTAAGTTTTACCACAGTAACCAACCTGCAGCAGTAGGTGGCAAGCCTTTCAGCTGCCCGTCCACGGACGACAATTTACTGTCATAGTATTCCCGCAATTTGACCAGATTCTGTTCCGCCTTGGCTTTGCTCACTTTCTCTTTCTCAAATTCTTCCTTCATTTCCTCCATCTTTGCATCATATTCCTATAACAGAAGTTTATTAAATCTTTCAAATTTGATATTCCATTGATGAATTTAATATATAAAAAAAAGTAATGAGATATTTATTTGTTGATTTCACCCATCAACAAGGTGAAAATAACACCCTTAGCTTTGTCTATGGAACAAATCTTAATCAGCCATTCAGAAGTTTTGGCAAAGACACCAATTAGATTAACCCTTTCACCACTGTAGACCATAATGGATTCATCCAGATCACTGCATGGGAGAGTCTACTAAAGTTGCATAGGGTTGAAAGGGTTAAGATACTTTAGTGCAGACCTCAAAGATAAACAGGAGATTGGTTACTAAACAGAATAAAATATTAGTAAAAATAAATAATAATAAAAAAACGCAAATGTACATTTCAATTTCATCAGTACATCAGTTACTTACCATTCTTATGCTCTCCTTTTCCTCCTCCAGTTCTTGTCGGATGTGGTCCGTGTCATTTTTGGCTGCGCATCCTCCTGCCTTGCCCGCCTTGCCCGCATCCCCTGGAGCACCTACGTGAACAATGACACAGAGTAACATATCTCCGTAAAACAATCAAGTCATCAAATCGATACCGTCAACATTTTCGTAATCCTACAAACTAAAATCTCTAAACTAAAGTCTACCCAATGTTAGGTATGGGGGATGTGGAAATGTTACCAGAGGGTGTAGAATTTTGATATCCCCTCTAGCTACGTAATAATCGAACGATTGGCTCTTTTTTCTTCGATCACTTACCAAAAGCAAGAGAAACATTTTTTGTACATTGTATAGCAAAATCTCTAGGTAAAACATGAACTAAAGCACTATTTTGACAGAGCAGAAAAAGTATAGTCTTTCATAAAGGTATTCTGTCTTTTCCTATTGCAGAGTTATCTGCTCTTGTGAGCAGGTATTGATTGTTATGTCATTTGTTTGTGAGAGTAATGTCATAAATTTTTGAGAAAACGACGTAATTTTCTCACACAAACCAATGACATTACAATCACCACCTGCTCACAAGAGAAGATAACTCTGCAATACGCAAAGACGAGATACTTTAACCCTTTCAGTCCCCTATGTAACTTCAGTAAACTCTTCCATGCATTGGTTTGGATGAGTCCATTATGGTCTACAGTGGTGAAAGGGTTAAATGAGTGTGCAAGCCCTCATGGCAAGCTTGTAATATTAAAATTCTTATTTTCATAAGTTGGTGTCAATAGCTAATAGAAAGAATGTCAGTCAGTCAAACGACATTTTGACAAGCTTTTGATTATGACATCATAACGTAACATCATCATCTATTTGTAATGTCAAAATAGCTTAACAGCAAAGGCCATTGTGTACATCCATGTATATCATTTGAGTGTTTAGGAGGGAGAAAAATATTTATACCTGCTGATTTAACCAAAATTTGTGATCCATCAGGCAGATATAAATTTTCAATTAAGATTTCTTCATGACTTCGATTAAAAGAGCATGTATTCAAGAGAATTTTACCATTAAGATTATGACTCTAAACACAAGAAGCATGAAGCAAACAGGGACAGCTAGATCTTCCCTCTTATACTTATCTTGAAAGCCTCCCTCCATGATGTGGAGCTGTCCCAAAAACCCTTACTAAATACCTGGCCTCGGACCACAGTCAATGCCTCTGGTTTGTTGTACACGAAAATAGCGCATTTCTCAATTTTTGGCTCGTTTTCAAATGAGTTTTTATTTCTTTCATGTGAATGAAATGAAACTTTATGTCATACCAAAATGAATCATGATCTTTCACTCTTTAATTAGTGTGGTTGATTAATTTGTGTGAAATTTATTTTGGAGGTATGTTGTTGGGGCCCCAAAGTATGAATTTCAGGGTCATATCATAGTACAAAACCTATAAAGATTAGGTCTCGAGCCAAATTATACAACATTTCTTTGGTAAGAACATATAGGGAAATTAATTGTGGTCTGAGGCCACCTTGGGAGCCTCTCTCCATGATGTGAAGCTGTCCGTCCATCCCTCCTTACTTACCATGGAAATCCTCTCCATGATAGCGAGCTGTCAGATCAACCTTCCTTACTCCCTCTGGGATGGGAAGCTGATCCATTAACCTTCCTTACTTACCTTAGACACCTCCCTCTGGGATGGGAAGCTGATCCATTACCTTCCTTACTTACCTTAGACACCTCCCTCTGGGATGGGAAGCTGATCCGTTAACCTTCCTTACTTACCTTAGAGTTAGACACCTCCCTCTGGGATGGGAAGCTGATCCATTAACCTTCCTTACTTACCTTGGAAGCCTCCCTCTGGGATGGGAAGCTGATCCATTAACCTTCCTTACTTACCTTAGACACCTCCCTCTGGGATGGGAAGCTGATCCGTTAACCTTCCTTACTTACCTTAGAGTTAGACACCTCCCTCTGGGATGGGAAGCTGATCCATTAACCTTCCTTACTTACCTTGGAAGCCTCCCTCTGGGATGGGAAGCTGATCCATTAACCTTCTTTACTTACCTTGGAAGCCTCCCTCTGGGATGGGAAGCTGATCCATTAACCTTCCTTACTTACCTTGGAAGCCTCCCTCTGGGATAGGAAGCTGGTCCATTAACCTTCCTTACTTACCTTAGACACCTCCCTCTGGGATGGAAAGCTAATCCACCAACCTTCCATAATTACCTTGGAAGCCCCCATGATGTGGAGCTGTCCCACCAACCTTCCTTATTAACCATGGAAGCCCCCCCCCCCCCCCCCCCCCACTCCATGATGTGGATCTGTTCAACCAGCCCTCCCTACTTACCTTGGAAGCCTCCCTCTGGGATGGGAAGCTGACCCATCAACATGGCCTTGAGCTTGGTGATCTCTTCCTGGTATTCCCTAAGCAAGGCGTCTTTGGGATCCTCATTGATCTTGGGTTTGTTCTGGATGTTTTTGGCTCGGTTTGCGTAACGAAGCGTGCTTATCGTCTCCTCATAGTTGTTGTCGGCCGGGGACAAACATGCAACCATAAGTGTCTTTGTATTTCCTGGGAAGTAGAACAAAAGGAAATCAAGCAACGTTCACATGGATATTAAACATAACTAGTATTGGACCCTACAAATTGAAATATTTTTGCAAGATGTCAAACATAGATTTTCGGATGAAGGAAAAATATTTAACCCAGTCACCCCTAAAGTCACATTTGAGCCGTACCAAATCAAAGACTGAACAAGTCCAGTTTATATATGTAGGGGTGAATGAGTTAAACTCTATCTGGTATATTAGTACTACTTAACATTGAAGAGTACACAAAGTTGCAGTACCTCCCAGAGAGTCCTGGAGAAGACGTGTGAGCTTGGAGTCTCTGTACGGGATATGTTTGGTTTTCGCGTCAACAAGTGCCGATATGACATTTCCAAGGGCAGACAACGATAAGTTGATCTTTGTGGCCTCTTTCAGACGATCTCCAGTAGCACCTGAAAAAATAAAATTCATATAAATAAATAAGTTTGAATTATGATACTAGTGTAAGTTGAGTTTAGCTTCACTCATATTGAATTCATTCAAACCATCTCTACGTTTTACAACATTTAAACTTATGTTTGAAACTACAGGTATAAGCATTTTAAAATGATTTTCATGTTCATGATTCTTATAACATCTAATGCAATAAAGTAAATTTCATTTTATTCAATTAAGTTTCAAATACAGGGTCTATTTGTCGCAAATCTTGATCTAGATGTTCAGTTTAAGTACAATTTATTGTAGAAATATACAAAGGGATTGGACAAAATGTAATATGAATTCAACTCTTCAAGTTCTTTCCCCACAAACATATTATACAATAAAGTGAAAAAATAACAATTTCTTTTTGATCGTCAACCCTTTCATCCTTATGCAACTTCAGTAGACTCTACCATGCATTGATCTGGATGAATTCATTATGGTCGACAGTGGTGAAAGGGCTATTATAGACTAAAGTATTTTGCCGAGTTGCAACAGGGTAGTTTGAATATAAATATAAACTTTATTTTATTTAACATAAATAATGAAACAAGTTACAACTTATATTAAACACTCGTGTTGGCCCGAATGTTAGCTCGCAAGGTGTCTTAATGAGGAAGGAAACTGGGGTACCCGAAGAAAACCCATGTGGTCGGACAGGTGTCCTTATACCTTTTCACGTTCGATTGGGGAAATCAAACCCAGGCTGCCTTGGTGAAAGGCGAGTGCCTTGTTCACTTCGCCATCCGGCCACCCAGTGTAGTTTGAATTGTGATAGAACTGTCACCAAATTACCTGTTTTGGACTGCCTTTCACTACCAGCAAGATCGACGAGGTTAAGTTTTCCAGCACGTATATGTTCTTCCCCTTCATCGTCCTCTTGTATCATCTCCAAGTTAATAGTGAAGATACTGTGGCTGCGAGATGAGTCTGCGTTCATAAGTGTGGCGCCCGTTGCACGGTTCTTCCAGCCCTTTTCCATAATACGTTCACATTCCGTGACATTGTGTACAGGATGCATCGAAAGACCTACACAAAAGATAAAATTGTCCATGAATGTTAGATTGAAGAGTCACTGGTGAAGACTGTTTTGTGTATGATTAAAAAAACACAAAAAATAGCTTTGCTAAGTCGATGCTCTATCTGTATCAAGTTTATAGGGTACTGCCTAAGATTCAAACATCCTAACAAACAGAAATCTCAGATAATTACCAAATAACTGAATCAATTATAAATGTTAAATTGTTTTATTAAGAGAAATAATGATAGAATAAGACTGCAGTTTTATTTATATCAGCTTAAAAAGGGGCTCAGATTTAAAGCAATCTGGCCCAGGCTAGTACTGTAAAAAGAATCTTTGCTGGTCACTTAATTTTGCAAGGAACAAGCCACCAAATTTAAAGCCACGTGAATTTTCTTCTTACACGAACATTGTAATTACACCATATTGAACTACATGTTTTCTGAAGTATTTAACTCATTCACCCCTGAAATTTCATAATGAACTATTCCAACCTTTGAATTGGAAGAGTTCAAATGTGTCTTCAAGGGTGAATGAGTTAAAAGTCATATATAAACAGCTTCAGAAAACAGGTGAACATCTGTTTATGTTTAATAAAGGTTGGGACAGTTGGCATCAAATTCAACTGGTCAAGTAGGCCAGCTTAAAATTTCATAAACCCTTAAAGATTTGACCCTTCTAAAGAATGTCTTGTTTGAGGTTTCCAGAAGTTTGACAGAATTCAAACAAGAAAACATATTACAACCCATTGCCTTTATTTGTAAACGTACCACTGACATAAACTCCTTTTTCTGGGTGTTCTTTTAGATCCATTTTTGCTTTGGCATCTTTCCCCAACAAATCTCGAATTTCTTCATTGTAGATTTCCAAATAGGATGCATGGATGAGAAATTTTGTTTCTTCTGCCACAGAAACTGTCTCAAAAATGTGGTCAAATGCCCTAAAAAAGATGAACACATATTACATGCATATGTATTTGTACAGGTGTTGGAGTTCAACAAAAATGATACTCCAGTTTTAAAAAAAAAGCAAAAAAAAAAGAATTCGGACCTGGGCCCGTATTCATGAAACCGTTCTCAAGCATGGATTCTGTGTTGAGCTCAAGCCATCTTTTTTGTTACCCACCTAAATAATGTCAACCATCAAAAAGTCAAATTTAAATATTGAAAACAGTATTCAGTTTCTAGTTTCTTCAATTTTTGTCAAAAACTTTTAACAAAATAAGATTTTTTAAATAATTTATAACTGGAACAAGAAATTAGACTTGAGCACAAAATCCAGACTTGGGCATGAGAACGGTTTCATGAAAAATCTGCCTGTTAGTTAAGATGGGAGTTTTACGGACAAATTATTTCGCATAAAGGGCTGTAATTCCCTTAAAAAGCGTTGAAATCTGAAATTAAAATGCTGGTGCACAACTACATAATATACCGATCATTAAAGTGAAGTTTCAATAAAATCTGCCTGTTAGTTAAGATGGTGTTTTCCTGACAAATTACTGCAGACAACAGACAGGGTGATTCCAGTGTACCCTCTAACATCGTTGCGGGGGGTATTCCGTCTTTGCGTATTGCAGAGTTATCTTCTCTTGGGAGCAGGTATTGATTGTTACGTCATTGGTTTGTGTGAGAAAATTACGTTGTTTTCTCAAAAATTTATGACGTTACTCTCACAAACAAGTGACGTAACAATCAATACCTGCTCTAAAGAGAAGATAACTCTGCAATACGCAAAGACGGAATAATAGATTTTATTGAAACATAGAAATGTGCATGATCAGTGGAATCAACAGTAGCAAAGTAACGGGTATAATTGAGCTGTGCTCACCTTGGGATGATGCCTCGTTGTGTTGCAGGGTTGGGGATACCTTGCATAGTGAATGATTTACCACATCCAGTCTGCCCGTAGGCGAAGATTGTGCCATTGTATCCTTCAGTCACCCCCTACAAACACCATCAGATATGGATTCAAATATAGCAATCTAATTAAAATTATATCTTCACATCGCTCCCGTTTACTGATATGTCGCGTTGAAGATCTAACAACATCCCGTAGAGGGTCATGTTCAGGCGACCTTTGCATTAACCAATCAGATGAGAGCTTACGCATTTCTGTAAGTGATGATGTAATGATTTCGGAACACACTTAATATGTTAAAAGACCGAGAGGTGTCAAATGAGCATCGAAAATGGCGGCGCCCATGACACCACGTCGTGTCTATCTACAAGACAACGTTTGTACAATTTGTGGATTTTGCTTTGAAATAAGAGACTTCCTCTTCTAGTGATGTTGTCATTAAAAAGTTTAACAATCTGAAACTAAAATTAACCAATGACAGGCTTCGCAATATTCAAACTATCACTGGACCAGACGAAAAAGTGGATTTTGGGCTACGAGGTGTCTGCATTAAATGCTACAGGTCCTGCTTTCTGATTGGTTGAAAGAAAGAGTTATGTCGCGTTTTGATTGGCTTGTTATAAATACGAAAATGCATTCATGTTGACCTCTGACGTGACCCTCTATGGGATGTTGTTAGATCTTCAACGCGACATATCAGTAAACGGGAGCGATGTGAAGATATAATTTTAATTAGATTGCAAATATAGCTGCTGTATTTTACTACAATTTTGTAAAAATCGTATGAAAATCCTAAACCTCCATGCAAGAGACCCCAGAGGGCCCTCGGTTGCCAACCAGTAAAGGATTGAATTGAATAGCACATCATGCAAAACAAAAATTCTCTATAGCAGGTTATTTTCACATGGTTTTTGTACTGATTTGAATGCATAATGTAGAATATGCATCACATTTGTTTAACTCAAAATCATGCTTATTAATCGTCTTCGGACCCTCCAATTTGGGTCTTGATCTGCATGGAGAAATAGTTCCAGAATTAAGAATACAAAGATGGGGTTAAATGTAAGATGGTTACTTTTTAATTGGTACATTATTAAGATCAATTTATTGTATTCTAAATGCCCTTGTATCAAGGTGAAACATAATTTTACCTCGTTATACTGACTGTATGTGAATACTCACCTCCACTAAGGGATAGGCTATGTCTGCATATATACTTTCAGTTATTGAATCAGTGAAGTAAGCTCCGTCAAATGTGAACACCTTTGGAGGCGCCTTGGAATCCCCTGGATTTCTTATTGTACACTGGCCACGTTTGCCGTCCATGGCAAGAACACAGTTGCATTTCAGCTCCTTTTCTCTGCCGTTCATTGGACGACATCTTACAATTACTTTTACACATTCGCCGTCTGCCATCTTGAAGCTGAAAATTACAAATGTACATGTATTTATTTTGTTCGTTACCTTAAAATGTTAATTATCATGATGAAGTAACGTCTTAACTCATTCACTTCTAAAGACACATTTGAACTCTTCTAATTCAAAGGTTGGAATAGTTCATTATGAAATTTCAGGGGTGAATTAATTTAGAAGCTAAGTGACATCATTTTAGTCCAAATGATATTACAATGCATTGGTCATGAACAATTTCATATTAGGAGAGTTACAAGAAATCTGGAAAATCAGAACATCCTTTCATATATATCATAGTACTAACAGATTTCATAAAAATTACCATCACGTTAAAGTTGATTTCAGTTTGTGTATACCGAGAAATTTTCGCTAGTTATATATTTTCGCCTTTTTCTCCCTCTGGTATGGGGTCAAATTTATCATTATATAAGTCATCATGAGTAATTAAACGTGAAAGACAAAATTAAAGCTGGGTGAATTGTATTTTACAGACAAAGGGTGAAAGTTTGACTTGGCGAAAAATTCCCAGTATACTGTAACATTCACATTCAGTACATTAACAAAATATTTCACATCCAGGTTCCTTCAAAAGACTGCAGTCCAGTATGTATTGCTAGACTATTTCTGAAACAGGATTTTTTTTTTCAAGTGTAATGTGTTTCCACCAGAGATTGAACCATGCAGTGACTTCCTGGTTCCTAGTCTGCCAATATATTTTTTTCTACCGAATGATCTAAAGGGAATTACCCTATCTGGAATGAAGCTAGTTCTAAGGCAACCATAATGCTTTAAGGTACAATTGAAACCTGCCATAGAACTCCCTCTTGTTATCCATATATATGTCTTTGCCCTTGAACATCACTACAATCCATGCAGCAGGTTTTAACTACCGGCCACCACAGGGAGAGCCACAGACACCACTGGTAACAGAAAGTAGTGTTCTTTCACCAGGGATGGAACCATGCAGTGACTCCCCGATTCCAATTCCCCTGCTCTATTGATTGACCTATAGTGTAGGGAAATTCAATCTAGCACAAAGCCAGAAGGTGACATTATACAGTTGAAACTTATCACATTTCAAGATATTTTGACAAGGGTCAATTCCTTTTCAGCAGCTAACTACATAACTGCTAGCAATTAATGTAATAAATGAATTTTGTGATCACTCTCCATTAATTATCAGCAACGTTTATGGTAATATATATCTCCCAGTCTGTTTATATTCTCTGGTATATGAGCCAATAGCCATAGGACCACTTTTCTTTCATATGTACTGTACCCCAGCTAGAGTTGGTTTCTCAGTTTGTGGGATTGCGAAAACAGAATTCTTATGTTTATCATTTTACTCTGCTACTCTATGAAATATGATTTTAACTATTTGTTTCTGTGGATAGATCCTTGCATATATAAATTATGATCATGAGTTTAATGAAATGAGGTAAGATTTTTATACTAAATATTTAGTTCCCAGTTCCAAAAAGTGAGAAACAAAATTAACTGGACACAACTATATGTTTGTACTGATGTAGATCTGACTATATCTATCCATCAAATGACTGTGTACAGACGATGGTCTCCTTTAAAAGACAGCAGGGAAAATCCTGAAATTTGAGAGCAGTGGGCCATTTTCATCAATTTTTAGTCAATCTCCCAATGAAGAGGGGCCCTTCTATGTAAAATTAAAATTAAATTGGAACACAGAGGGGTCAATCTCAGTTTTGACATGGCCCCCTCCGGCATTATCCCGGAGACAGTAAGTCAAAACATTCTACACAGAATTTGAAGACCTGCTAAATGAAAGAACTAAAATCACAACAAGTTTTTTTTTAGAATCCATCAGTAAATCAGCTGATCAACATTTCTAAAAATATTTCTAAATGCCTGTACATTATAGGTTCAAGTGAACACTACATGTTAAAACAGTTCAACAACACTTGTCATGGTAAGTCAAAGAGAACATCAAGAATTACTTACTATTAACTTCGGTTCAAAGAGGAAGAGAGTTTTCGGATGTCTAGATTTTCTGTAATATGGTTTCCTTGGAAACAAGTAAACTGTCCAGTTTCAGCTGTTTCTGAGGTCATCTATATTTAAACTGGATCATTTTAAAATACATATTGTATCGTATTAAACACTAAACTGTTGTTAAAGTTATCGGATATGTTGTGACAGTGTCTTCCAGTTGACTGAGGAGCTAAAATTACAGATTCCACCTCTCAGCTGTCACTTTCGAGCTTTCATGTTAAAACTATTTCGCAAAGGATCACGGGAATGTTCGGCGTCCCAGTCGGAACCCCTTGCAATTTTTGTATCTGGTATGAGACATTCCAAATGATATAGGTGTCACTCCACAATTTTGGCTTTATCATCATCGCTTCGAGTTGAGCCTTTGCTTTTTATGTAAAATTAACCCTACTATGTTCTTATCGAACCCTTAGCCCCCTGACTGCAAAGAATATAACTTTACGAAGATTATAGAAAAAAATCAACAGAATAAAAGTCAGTTGAATTTGTAAATACTGCACTTACACACTTCAAGTTAGTTCTATCTCGTTTGATATTTTGTTTTATAATCCTCAATGAAACCCAAATTTTGAGATATTTTTAAGTAAATAAGAAGAAATAAACAAAAAATAACGGTAGTGTCATTTTTCGAGATAAAATGAAGCAGAAACGACAAACTTAATAAAATATCTTGCAAGCATTGCGGTCTTGTGTAAGTCTAATTATTTACAGCATCCGGTGTAATTTCGTATATATTTTTTTTTTTATTAATTTTCATAGTTTCTTGCAGTTTTTTAAATAATATGTCTTTATTTCTAATAAAATATCAACATCACAATAAAGGTAACGAACAAATGTTGATTCAATATTTGGTCTCGTTTGTCCGAGATAGCAACTTCATACCGGCAAACATGGCGGACAAAACTGAGAAAGAAGATACCGCTGTGAGCGAAAAGAAGGAAACTAAGAAGAAAGATGCTAAGGATAAGGAGACTGAAATGGTACAGATGAAGTCTTAAACGTTTTTTTATTGCGCGAATAATCCCATTTTAAATACTCGTCCGTAACATATTAGAAAACAACGGTTTGCTTCACCCACGCCTGCTGTAGTTAGAATGTCTTCAAATCTGCTGTGTCACAAAATGTTGCAAAATGCAATGTCTTTGTAAATGATTTTTTAAAGGTTTTTTATTAATTTGCATAGATATGTCTTAATTCCAATAACCGTTTTGAAACGAAAAATGGTATTTCGATTATTGTGTAACCTATCCAAACGTTTACTTTTAATCAAAATATGTCCCTTCAGATCGCAAATTAAGTTAGACCAGTATTTGTTATTGTGTGATACACAATGATACCCTATCACAGTTAGCTCTATCCCTTCAACAATTCAATATAAACCAATTTGTTGGCATAATGAACAGTTCATGTTGCTCAGAACATTGGAGCCTGCAATGATCATCCGTTACAAGGAACAGAAAGTGCACTGCTCTAGGGCTACTATTAGTAGATGTTGATGTTTGTTTGTTTGTTTGTTTGATTTTGTTTAACGTCCTATTAACAGCTAAGGTCATTTAAGGATGGCCTCCCCTGTGTGCAAGATGCATGCGTGTAGTGTATGTGTGTGTAATTTGGGAGGCTGCGATATGTTCGTGTTTGTCTCCTTGTGATAGCGCGGAACTGATGCCGACTTTATAGTGCTACCTCACTGAAACATACTGCCGAAGACACCCAGCAGGACGCCCCACCCGGTCACATTATACTGACAACGGGCGAACCAGTCGTCCCACTCCTAATTTGCTGAGCGTTAAGCAGGAGTAGAAACTACCATTTTTAAAGACTTTGGTATGTCTCGGCCAGGGGACAGAACCCAAAGCCTTCCTCACAGGGGCGAACGCTCAACAAATGGCCAAAAGTGAGGCATTGTCAAGGGAGACATTAGGAAGAAGAAAGTTATTTAGAAAGGAGAGAAGAGATAAGGTCCCAAATTTAGTCGCCTCTTACGATCATGCAAGTAGATGTTGAAAAACATGAGTTCTGTATCTGTGGGTATAAGGCGCAGGGTCCCTAAGGACATTTATCGCGTCGGGGGAGGAGTGGTAGGTAATCTTGTAGTTCTGAAGGGTGAGGGTTCCTTTGAAACTCTCCACCATGGTACTCTGCATGGAGATGTTGGTCAGATGGTTCCAGTCAATAGTAGTCTTATGTTTTGATAAAGAGTTTTAAAATTGTTCTGTTCAAAACATTTCAATATATATAAAATTAATATTCAATATATTTTGATAATAACCATTTAGTGGTAGTCATTGAAATTAACGCTATAGCAATAATAGAATTCTTCCAAGGGTTGTATACATTTATTGTGTAGACATTGACACACTCACACATAATGTAATTAATACATAATAAATATGTTACATCTAATATAATACATTGTACAATAGCCAATAGGGAAAACATGTTCCCTTGGGTGCTACTGAAGTTCTAGGTAATCTTTAACTGAAGTACTGTACTCTGATGTATCTTTTCCTGTTAGTCTTTGAAAATAAATACTAATGATTGTAATGTTTTTATGAGTTTAGAAATAGGTCTGTGTTTGACTTGAAATAGCCTGTAAAGCCTATCTCGGTGATCAAGGTCAGTGTAAATCCATGTAGCTATTGTTTATTCACTTAAGATTAACCAAACTCTTTTCTTTTCATGAGACTGATTGAAATTCGTGAGAAATGTGTGTCACACTGTGAGGAATTTTTCTGATGTAATTTTCATGAGTCTCACTAGTTGTTAGATATGGCATGTATGCTGGTTTTATATATCATTATTAAATGTGGTTTCTTTTTGTAGTCTGAAGAAGACAAGCAATTGCAAGAAGAATTGAACATGTTGGTGGACCGTCTGAAGGTGAGATTTTCAAAGTAATTTTAACCAATACTAAAAGATCATACTCATGGAAGTATTGTAATATTTTTCAGGTAAATATGTATTCATTGATTATGTTGGCCTTGGAAAGAGTTTACAGAAATTGCCACTCCAGTAAAAATTATGAAAGTATTTTATTGCGTTCACCTATTTCATACCATATTTAAGATGACAGACTGACTGTAATATGTAATCCTAAGATTATGGTTGCTGTGGGTATTGACTGTCAGATATTGGTTGTAGGAATCGGACCAGAAGCTATACAAGCCAGCCCTGGAAAGTCTACGGTCACAGATAAGAGCTTCCACCACTTCCATGACGTCTGTGCCAAAACCCCTCAAGTTTCTTCGACCCCACTATGAATCACTAAAGGAGGTCTATGAAAAAATTACAGAAAATGAGACAAAGGTATACTATTGAGACACTCTTGGTATAGGTTTAACCTTTGTCAGTTCATAGGTACCTATCACAAATAAAGAAATAAACACTAATCTATGTATCGATTGCATTAATTTTGTTTTTATTTTTCATTCCTGATAGGTACCTATTCTCGGTTATATACAAACAATCAATGTCAGTTAAAGTTGTTTCATTCAGTTGAAGAACAGTTTTATAGTATGCAATATGATGTCCACCAAAGTACAAGATCTATTAATAGCAAAAGTTACAAAAAACTATCAAATGATCTATTAATAGAAAAAGTACAAAGACAACTTTGTTACTACATTACCACTACATATATAAGTTATTACTGAAGTAAGTTTTACATGTGAGAAGTGACTATTATTGGGCATTATTTGCTCCAGCAGTGTGCTGGTTAATGGGATTTGGACTACAGTATACAAAAAGGTTTAACCAAATAATCATATGTCTACAGTGTTTTCTTTACAGGTTTGCTTCTTAGTGAAATATATTGCACATCTTGTCCAATTACCTTGGATCTCCAATAAATATTTGTATGCAATGTGAAATAAAGTAGAAAGAGAATAATTTAGATTAATTTTCACACTGGTTGACATAAACAAAGAAAATCAATTTTCAATATGCATCCAGTTTTTTGCATGGTCAATCTTTGTCCATATAGTGTGTCAAAGTAAATACATGTACTAATAAATATTTTTTACATTAACAGCGCTTTTGTGCAGATATTGTATCTGTCATGGGTATGACAATGAGTGATGGTCGAGAAAGTTTGAAGTATCGCCTCCTTGGCTCCAAAGAAGAGATTGGGTCCTGGGGCCACGAATATGTCAGGTACTTGGGCTTGGTATCATTTCCTATCTTTCTTAATTAATGAAATTAGCGATTTCTGTATCTTCAAGAAAATCTTCAAGGTTCCAGTGAACCAAATTCATTATTTTTTCAGAAGTCAAATTCTACAGTAATGAAAGGTTGTTTTTTTTTATTATATTTTGAATTTTTTTTTTGACAGACATTTAGCAGGCCAGGTGGCACTTGAGTGGCAGGACACTGATGAGGCAAATAGCTCCATGCGGGAGTCGCTGCTGACAATGACAAAAGAGGTGGTGCCTTACCATATGGACCACAATGCAGAGGCTGAGGCTTGCGACCTCCTCATGGAAATTGAGCAACTTGACATCCTCCATAACTATGTGGATGAGAATGCTTACCCCCGTGTGTGTCTCTATCTGACTAGGTAAGATTTCCTTTTCTCCTGACAAACAATTTCTCATCACTTCAAATCTAACTTTAAAATGAAGTCAGTGTGTATTGCAACAGACTTTCTATTAATACAACTTATCATTAAGTGCACATTTTAGTATGCTGACACATGAATACATATTTAAAATATGGAAAAAGCTGGCAAATTCAATTGTACTAATAAAGGAGGTTTAATTTTGGCCTCATCATTCCTCATAATGTTGCAAAGGGTGGGTTGATATAATTAAAGGAAAAAATGTGTCTTAGATTGAAACCTTATAATGGCTATAGAGGCAGAATGAGTACAGAATGCAAAAAAAAAATGTACGATTGGTGGAGTAAAATCAGTTGGAAATATCCTGTATAAGTTAAAAATATAACTTTTTTCGTTAGTTCTTAAAAAGGAAATATTCTGTTTCCGTAGTTGTGTGCCATATGTCCCCGACCCAGAGAACTTTACCCTGCTGAGGACAGCTGTCGATATATACAGAAAGTTCAAACAGTTTCCACAGGCCTTACGCTGTGCTCTGCAGCTCAATGACATGAAGCTTATTGAGGAGATCTTCCTGACCTGTAAAGACATGTGAGTATGGGTGGATAAATTGTTTTCTTTTGACTAGTGTACAATGCACAGTTGTTTGCGTTATAAAGTAAGGACTGTTCCAGAATTATCCGTAGGGGAGGGTTGGGAGGCACTTTTTCAGAGACCCCACCACCCATCGAATATTTAAATGAATGGTAGGCAGATGCTGTTTTAACCCCACTACCTATAATGTATTAATTTAGTACAGGTACCTCCCCCATACAATAAATTATGGAATAGCCCCAAGTAGTACTGGCAAAATGGAGGCACAATAGTCTAGTGGTGGGACGCCGGGCTCGTGACCGACGGGTTGCGTGTTCGAGTCACGGCACTGTGTTGTATCTTTGAGCAAGAAACTTTACTCCGTTTGTTCCAGTCTACTAAGCTGTAAATGAGTATGTGGTTGGGCAGTGCTAGAATTGTTGAATGCTAGCTGTTAACGTCGAAGTGGCAGCTCCGGCTGTATGCTCCCCATGGAGTTGAGAAAGGTATTGGCTGGTTGCAAAGGCCCTATAGGCTATAACCACAGATAATAATTTGTGAACCGCTTTGAAACAACCTATGAACTAGGTTGTGATAAAGCGGTATATAAGAACCTCAAATTATTATTATTAAAATATCAGTTAGATATCAATGGGTATATTTAGTAATAGTGTTGCAAACTCTTTGTGATCGTGCATTATTGAATCTTAATTTCAAAACCTAGCTTAATAAAATTGTCGTTTTGGTCACTATACAATTTGAGTTTGAGTGTTCCACAAACCTGTCTTAGTAGCTTCTGTATGTTTTGTGTCGGACAGAATGATGCAAAAGCAGCTGGCCTATATGTTGGGGAGACAGCAGATTTACCTAGAGCTCGGGGACGATGTGGAGGAGTATGATGAGATGACAGAGATCATGTCAAATGCCCATCTCAACAACAACTTCCTTGCCTTGGCAAGAGAGGTATATATTCAACAATCATTAGCTCATTTCTGATGAACAATTTTTGTTTCACTAAAATAATTATATACCTGGTAATTGCTTTCATCTTCAAATGATAATTTGAGTTTAGAGTTGTTTTCCTGAAGTATATTTTGAATGCAATAATTTGAAGTAAAATAAAAATTAAATTAAAAAAAAAAATCATATCTTTTCTACATATCTCTCTTTCAAAAGTTCCTCAGAGTAAATACAGTTTCATAATACCATTTTTCTTTACAGTTGGATATTATGGAACCCAAAGTGCCAGAAGATATCTACAAGTCACATTTAGAACAAAGTCGTAAGTGTTTATTAGGCTTGGACACATTGATGGACTATATGAGTACTGTCTGTGCACGTTGAAATTTTAATAAGGACATACTGATAACAGCTTCGATTTTTAGGCATAATCTATACCTATTAGATGTGTAACCTCAATAGTTTTGATAATTCGGTGAATAAATACCATTAGTAACTCTTTTATGTACTTGATAATAGCAGATTGTTATTTTAGTATATAGAATTTAGTGTTTCAGAACTACTCTCTGTATAGTGTACATATTAACACCGTAAGATTTAACAGCATAAGTAGGAATTGTAACACTCTTCATTTTAGGTAGATAATCCCATCATTTTTCTGCTCTATAGAAAAATATTTATGTATATGTCTCAAAAATATTTTTCTACTAAATGTAATATGATTTCTCTAAAACACACATAAATCAATACATTTCTCATGTTTAAAACTCTTTGTAATAGTATAAATGGGCAATGCAAGCAACTTGTATGTCGAAAAAATGCAGAATTGAAAACCTCCTATGTTTTGAGATACAACACTAAGCAATGTGACTCCCTACCTTAACACCAGATGTGGTAGGAGTAAAGATTGGTTATTGAAGAGCAGCATCCAAGTCAAGCAAGAAAATATAAACAAAATAGGATTACTGTTGAAGATATATGCTATAGAGAACAAAAATCAATGTTGCAACTGAAAAATTTTGATATTGTCTTGACATTCTGTTTCATTTTGCAGGTAACACCATAGGTCCCAGTAATGTAGACTCAGCACGGCAAAATTTGGCCTCATCATTTGTAAATGGATTTGTGAATGCAGCATTTGGCCAGGACAAACTTCTGATGGAGGATGGGAATAAATGGCTCTATAAGAACAAGGAGCATGGTATGTACAAGGAATTAACTTGATCAGAATAAGAAGGGAACGACTTGGTTGTTAGAAGTGTTAAGAATCAGTTGAAATTTTATGATCAATCATTGGCAACCATTAACCCTTTCACCCTCATGTAACTTTAGCAGACTCTGCCATGCATTGATATGGATGGGTCCATAATGGTCTACAGTGGTGAAAGGGTTAATTAACCAATGATTGATGAATAACTGTTTTAAAGGAGAACCTTGTGAAATGCTCAGTGCTGTTGTTGTGAGTCACTTACACCAATAAAGAAAAAGTGACACTATGTAAAGAGTTACTTCTTTCCAAAAGTGAATTTGTAATTTACACTCTTAAGCAGCGATGAAAAATAAGTCAGCCATGATGCCAATATAGCAGCTAGAAATAAATACCAGCAGACTTCTGCTGCTTTATACCGCTAACTCTTATTATAAGTGTCTAGCTAGGAGAAAGATTTGAAATCGTGAATCACTCTACTATAAACTCCAAAACATCTACACAACTATTTCGTCTAAAATTGATCATGAACTCGGTCGATTAATCAGTTTATTGGTCTAACTGACCGATGGTCAGCAAAGTCGATTAGTGGCAAGTCTGCGATAAATTTCTGTTTAAAACATGATTCTGGTTATCAACAGATTTTACCAGTTTATATAAAATTTGAATATCATTATTGTATTTAATGAGTATAAAGTGACTGAAAGGGTTTATGTTATAGGTATGTTGAGTGCCACAGCATCCCTGGGTCTGATCCTGTTGTGGGATGTTGACGGTGGTCTCACACAGATAGACAAGTACCTGTATTCCTCTGAGGACTTCATCAAGGCGGGGGCTCTCCTTGCGTGTGGCATTGTTAACTCTGGTGTGAGGAACGAGTGTGACCCCGCGCTCGCCCTCCTGTCCGACTATGTCATGCACACCACAGCGATCATGAGGATTGGTGCCATTGTCGGGTGAGTAGATCTGAACATTTTGTCTTTGAAGTTTTGTCATTTTTGCTAGTCTATAATAGGGATGAAGCTGTTGTATGATATATTTTTCTGCTAACAAAATGGAAACAAACCTAACCTGCTGAAATTCATCATGCAGAAAGAAAATTAAGTCATTTAAGCAAAATTGATGCCATCTACACTAAAATATTTGTTACGAAATCTTTCTACCAAAAAATATCACACTACTTAAATTATAATTAACTGCTTTAAAGTTCTGCTATACTTTGGTATTTATCAACCCTTTTGGTAAGTTAACATGCCTGAAGTCTTGTGCAGGAATGGAAATAATTTTACTGAGGTATAGTAAAACAGTTTTATGAAGAGGTCCTATAAATTACCATTATAATTATGAGCATTATTCATTTAAATTTAAGCGTATGCAAGTAAAACACTACCAAGGGGGCAGAGGTAGCATACAGTGGCCATGGGTGATATTTTTGTACAATGAATAACCCCTGTATTATTACATGTATCAAAATTTCAAAAAAGTCAGCACTAAAATTGGCATATACATGATGAAGTGGACTATGTGGGCTTCACATTTTTTTTTGTAGTCTATTTTTGTACTCAGTACATGTGTAAATATTGTGAAAAATCCAGTTGAACGACCTATGCTAAAACTTGAGTATTTCTGTTACCGATTAGGTGATATTTTTTAAGACAGGTTTTAAGGGAAAATTACTACTTGCGTGGGTCAAATTTTGGGTTATAAATCATGTTTTTTTGCATTCTTCTAAAAAACGTATTCAAAATGTAGTTTATAAATATATATATATATGTAGGTATTGTGCAGGATGAATCCGATATCCATGTTTATCTGAGACATGCCCTTTATTTTAAGGATCATGCCATTTCTACTGTACTCTAGCTGCTACCAGAGCTTTCAGTTGACCCTTGACATTTAGAAATTTCAAGAATCCAATAATACTTTTACCTGAAATCGGGGTATCAGGACACCTGTCAAATACAGATGTCCTTTAAAATCTAAGAGTCATTTGAGTCAAATAAGATTTATAACATAAACTAGCCCTCCTTTGGAAACATTTCTTTATTCATAAATTTGTTTTTTTATATATATGCATATTTGTTATCATCAATAGCTGACATGTTAAATAGTTGATTTACTTTTAAATTACTGAAAATATATCACTTCTAATTTCTTCTACATTCTTGAAGTTTTTCAACAATCGGAAAATTGACTGGTCTATATATTTTTTTAGCCATTTAATAACATTTTAAGGCATAACATGCTGACTCGGGGCCTCAACCCTGGAAGATTTCCACAAGCAAATCTGGAAAATCAAGGTTTGTTGAACGAAATAAAGGGTATAACAAAATCATTATTTATTGTTGTAGTCTTGGTCTAGCCTATGCTGGGTCTAATAGAGAAGATGTGTTGACACTCATTTTGCCAGTACTTGGTGACAGCAAAGCTGCTATGGAGGTAAGCAACTGTGGTTATATCTTGAAATTCCATGGGGTTATGTATACGTTCACTTTGGGTTCTGTGCAACAATGGAATATGTCATGGACTGGTTTCAGGTGAAAAGAACCTGACCAATCGCTAGGCTTGTCGTTGCAAGATACGTGACATCAAACTCAATTTTACCGTTGCTCCGCTGCACGATAGTTTGATGTACAAGTACACTTAAGAATCAAAGACTAGAGTCTACAAGTAATTGTGTTGTCTGCAAGGTGGTGCGTACAGAGCCTTCGCTTTCTTGTGTCATATGCCAGGGGTGCCAAAGAATGTAAATGAGCATAATTCCTGGAATTTCGAGGATGCTGACAGTATAAAATCTATGTATTATGGATTTTGTTTTAATTTCTTTGACTTAAATTTAGATAAATGCATTATTTTCAATAACATTTTAGGTTTATTTTGCAAAAAAAAATATGGAAATGTTGTTTTAATCTCTGAGCTTTCAACAGTTCTTGTAATTAGTTACTTCAAAATGTGAATACATGTATCTGTTATAAAGGATTTGATGTAATGTTGTAGGGATGGCTGCCCTGGCCTGTAGTGTATCTGTGTTTGTGTATAACCTATCTTTGTGTATAGGTTGTAAGGATGGCTGCTCTGGCCTATGGTATATCTATCTTTGTGTATAGGTTGTAAAGATGGCTGCCCTGGCCTGTGGTATGATATCTATCTTTGTGTGTAGGTTGTTGGGATGGCTGCCCTGGCCTGTGGTATGATATCTGTGGGAAGCTGTAATGGCGACGTTACCTCAACGATCATACAAACCATGATGGAAAGAAATGAAGCCGACCTAAAGGACACTTACTCAAAGTTTCTGGCCCTGGGACTTGCTCTTACATACCTAGGTAAGATTGGAATTGAGCTCATTCTTCACTTGTTAAGGTTTATATCAACTCCGTTCTTGATGATTTTGATTGTTTACCAGTCCAGTTGTCAAATTTTCATAAAAAAAATAAGAATTATCAAATTGAATTAATTGTTACTTTAATCTAAAAATTCATCTAAAATTACGCTTTAATTATACAACCTGTCGTTTAAAACAAGAATTGTGATTACAGGTAAACAGGATGCTGTGGAGGCTACACTGGTCGCTCTAGAAGTGATTGCCGAGCCTCTCAAGTCAATGGCTTGTATGCTGGTCGATGTGTGTGCCTACGCTGGTAGGTAGTCTATAACTGTACAATGAATTCTCTGTCTCTGTTACGATCACGCTCGAATTGTTGTCTTGTCAGATCAATAGGGTTGTGATGTGTACTTTCAAAATTGTGTTAAACCAAAACATCATTCTAGCCTTGCTTGTTTTTGTACATTGATTATTCAGTAGTTCTTGTTCGGACAATTGCAAAATGTATACATTGGTCTGTAGTTCTGGATTTGTTAGTTAAAGACTTTGTAATCTAGCTAGAAGTTTTTAAGGAAGAAAAGTTATTTTGAAAAATCAAACTTTTTGGAAAAGATTGTATTTATATATGTTTATGTGGAAAATGGTTCGAACAGGCTAGAAAATGATTTTAATGCATGCAATTTTTTTTGTGGAAACCAAGCTGTTTATTTTTCCATATATAGTAACTCTCTTGACTATTTCATTCATTCCAGGTACTGGAAATGTATTAAAAATACAACATTTGCTGCATGTCTGCTCTGAACACGACGAGACCAAAGATCAGGTATGTCTGCTACTCTTCTGAATGAAAGATATTTCTTCATACAGGATTAAGGGTTTGGTGTTTTGCATTTGAATGATAGCCTATATATATATATGTCAGTGCTGGTTTCTTGTGAGAATAATCTTTCAAGATATATTGACAAGTATTCATCATTATTTCATAATCAGTCATGTATCGTATAGTGAGAAAAGTTTGCCGTGAAACATTTGCCCTGCGCAAATAAAATAATATCCCTATTCGCCCAATGTTTATTTGCCTTTCACATTTTTTATGGACTTGTTCATTGTATCATTTAATAATGTTCGGTGCAATGCAAAATTTGCCCTCATTACAGAGAGCAAAAGAGAATGTTAAACTGAGGAAAACATCTCAAATGAAACTTCAAAGGGATGAGCACTTCGATTTATTACTGGTATTAAGTTGTTTTTTTAAATGATGCCATTTAAAAATGTTGCCTCCCATGAAATGCCATCATTGCGTTTTACTTAATCTTTCTTTCCTGTTAACACGCGAGTAGGCATTGATCGTCATTTACCAATGGTACCATCACATTTTGGGAGGCACATTTTCAGAGACTACCATCAAGTAATATTAAAGGGATTTAATACCAGAAATGGTAGGCAGATCTGGTTTTAACCCACCACCCATAATACAATTACACATCGGGTGGCTTCTACCTCCCCCATACGATCAAATTATGGAATAGCCCTAATATAATTACACATGTGCTTTCCACCTTCCCACCATACGATGAATTATTGAGTAGCCCTAATATAATTACACAGGTGCCTTCCACCTTCCCCATACGATGAATTATGGAATAGCCCTAATATAATTACACAGGTGCCTTCCACCTCCCCCATAGGATTAATTATGGAATAACCCTAGCTAATATACAAGAGAATACAGGCCTATTGCATCATTTGATACCAAAAACATTTTACACAAAGACCTACAGCATCTAAACAAAAGTTTCACTTATTTCTTTTCAAGGATAATAATGAAAAGAAAGATGACAAGAAGAAGAAAGATGCTAAAGACAAAGACAAAGAAAAGGAAAAAGAAAAAGAAACAACGAGTGCAGACCTCTCTTCACAACAAGGTATGGAATTTGGTTTATTTTCTGGGGGGTTTTATCACAGAAATTTGCCAAAAAGGGAAAAAAAAAGAGGGGGGGGGCATCAAACATTGATAGCAAATTCTTACTAGTATTTGGCCTGCTAAAAAAAGGACTTATAAAAATAAAAACATCAGATTTAATGCAGCATTATTTTCAAATTTTGCTGTGTTAATTTTGTGATTTAGAAATAGTTATGTATATTAAGTATCACTTGATTATAAATATTCTCTATGGTATGTTCTCATAAATTTCACAAAACATGTACGATAGAGGCGAAAGGGAAACAATATTTAGTATTACCTGTTTGACTCCTGGAACGATGCTTGTCCCACTTAAACTCAAATTGTGTACATTTATTGTATTTGCTGATGTTGATATTTTTTGTGCTTCCTTTGGAGAAAAAAAACATGAATATAGTGAGTGATACACCACTGCTGTTCAGGTTTTACAAGTTTTCATCACCTGCTGTGATTTTATTTCAGGAATTGCGGTACTAGGAGTAGGTCTGATAGCCATGGGAGAAGAAATTGGTTCGGAAATGTCTTATAGAGCTTTTGGACATTTGGTGAGTCTAGTCATTAGTATAGTGATACTACCTACTATGTTTAACTTTTGGACTACAGAACAGTGTAGAATGGATGATAGTTTAGATGAGCATCCGAAACTTTGGTCGACATGTTTATATTAATAATTAAAATAGTATTTCAGTGGCAATATTTCGATTACTTGTTTTATTAAACATTTTAGGAATAAAAGAACAATAAGTAAAAAAGTCTGAGAATTACTCAACGGACACTAACTATGCTAGATGTACAATGTTGCTATAGTTCCTCGTTTCATATAGAGTAGAAAAGCGAAGTAGACACACTTTTAGTATGAGGCATTCCTAAAATACTTTAACTTAAATAGGCTCTAATTAAGGCTACTGTCTGTAGGTTTATTGACACTGAGGAGAACCATGATTTAAGCTGATTTAGAAATCATGCCGTTTCCTTGTCAAATTGTCATGAATAATGTCAGTAACTTGTAATATTCTTATGACCTGCTTTGTTTCTAGCTACGATATGGTGAACCAGCGATAAAGCGAGCAGTACCTCTGGCTCTGGGCCTGATTTCTGTATCTAACCCCAAATTAAATATTCTGGACACTCTAAGCAAGTTCTCCCACGATAACGACACAGAGGTGGCCCACAACGCTATTCTGTCCATGGGCCTGGTCGGAGCAGGTATGATATGTCTACATACACTGGCCATTCAATAAATCATTTGAGAAATGTTTGAAACAAGTCGCTGATTGTCTGGAACACATGTTTCATTCTTTAGAAGCAATCATTTTGTGAAGATGTATTTGAGGTTCTACTCTTGAAGTTGTATTTTATGTCCATAAGTATTACATTGTAATTTCTTTCATTGAAAAATGTATATGTTGAGGTTGTAATTGCAGTGCTGTATAAGCAGAATTTTGGTCACTTCAATTTATTGCACTTTTAGTAACAAATCAACAATAAGTTCCGGTTCAACTGTAATCTTTCTCATCAGGAAGATATGGTCTAGTCACCATTTTGATCGTAATTAATTGTAATTTCTCTTCTAGGAACAAATAATGCACGTCTAGCTGCCATGTTACGTCAATTAGCCGTGTACCATGCCAAGGACCCGAACAACTTGTTCATGGTGCGTCTAGCGCAGGGTCTCACTCACCTGGGCAAGGGCACGCTCACTCTGAGTCCCTATCACAGTGACCGTAGCCTCATGTCGCCCGTTGCAGTCGCTGGGCTTATGGCTGTTCTTGTGTCCTGTCTCGATGTAAAAAATCGTAAGTTTGTCAATGAACTCTGCTGCTGATATCAAAGGCTCAAAAATATCTAGCACTGTAACTTTAATGTTGAACAGAGATTTCAACTAGGACTTCAGTCCTCGACACATAGGAAAAGTCTTATCTTTGTATAACAGAAACTAAAAGATTCAGATTTTGATGATTTCCCACACGTGTTATGTATTAACGGAATAAAATTGAGAAATCTGGAACATTATATCTACCATATTTACCAAATTTTGTGCCCTCGGGAACTGGAAAAAATGTCTGAAAGGGTGCTTATTAAGATAACTGACACAGGTTGTTGCAGATGCTGAAAAGGCATCACAACTTTTAGACACATTCTCGAGGAGAATTTCTAAATTGTTCGGCTTTTTCAAACGCTTGGAAATAGCTTTCGATTGTGAAATTGTAGTGTTAGAAAATGTGTATAGTACTATATTTTGTGATAAACTGGAGAAAGGCAGAATAACGGGTATTTGAGAAAGGGGATGATTATGCCATTTTAATAAGTGCCAAAAAATTGGAAGTGGCACTAATTACAACAGATTCAGTTTTCCTTGTTTCCATTGGAATATCTATTACTGCAGTCTGTTCTGTATCAATTGAGTATTTCCATATACATGTCTTTCAGTGATTTATCTGATGTTTGTCTTCACATGTGTTTTTATTTTACTTTGTCGTTTTTGTTGCAGTCATCCTAGGTAAATCTCACTACATCTTATACCACCTTGTGGCGGCCATGCAGCCACGCATGTTAACTACGTTTGACGAGGAGCTCCGACCACTTCCTGTCCCTGTGCGAGTTGGACAGGTAATACGACCTGACAGTTTTACTGATAATAAGTCAAAACAATACGATAAGGAGTAGTATGGTATATTTCACATTAAAAGTTTCCTAGCACTGGTTGGCTGAAATTGCTCCAGTCAAAGAAAAAATTTCAAATGAACCATTTAGTTGTTAACCATTAAGTTTAGTATTAATGTGCGAGATAAATGTGAGAGATTAAATTATTGAATCATTTGAGGTATATGTTACTGTTATTCTAGGAAATAATAATCGCTGCAGTTTAACTTTCACCTTTCTCTCCCTCCCTCCTCCCTCCTTTATTGGGGAGATTTTATTATCATGACAGCCAATTTTAGAACACAAAGTGTACAACACTGGGCAAATACATATTTTTACAGTGAATATGTTGCTGGCTGAAAGTTTCCTGACATGCAGTATGTTTGTATTGTTTATACTCTACTGGTAAGACGGACTGTAAGACCAGTGTATTGTTTATACATTGCTAATGAGACAGAATGTAAAATCAGTGTGTATTATAGGGATGTTGTTGATATTTTACAGGCTGTTGATGTGGTGGGACAAGCAGGTAAGCCCAAGACCATCACTGGGTTCCAGACACACACCACGCCAGTATTGTTGGCTTACGGAGAGCGGGCAGAACTCGCCACCGAGGAATGTATCCTTTCTGTTGTGGCACCATGCCCTGACTGTTTATGTACTAAACTATGTATTTCTGAACGTCAAAACTATAGAAAAAGTCGAAGTATAAAAATATCCAATCAAACTCCCTACCTAGAAAAGGATTTAGTCTAGAAAAGGATCTAGTGGTGTACATGCTTTTTCAACTTCCCTCTTTAGTTGAATAAAATCAGTATGGCCGTTCTATCCTTTGATTGCCTGTTACATTGTCCACTTTTCAACTTCCTTATGGCTAAAAGTCACTCTACATATTACAGAGTTTGTTCATGACCCTTTAAGGCAAAGTGGAAATAGCTTTTGTGCTAATTAGAAATTCAGGTAAGCAGTCCAAGGCTTTAGACGGTGGCGTTTGGTTCTTCCCGAGACATATAATGTACCACTGTACTATGCTATCTGTAATAAACTGGCAATGGTATGTAAAATCTTATATGTTGTTTCCACTATACGTGAAGGGCTACCTAAATTATGTATTTTGTGACCAAAGCCATGAACTTTTGGCTTTCTGTATTGGGAGTTTATGTAAATCCTGTATGTTGTTGCCTTAACTTGTAACAGACCTACCACTGAGCCCACTGATGGAAGGCTTTGTGATATTGAGGAAGAACCCCGACTACGAGGACTGATACCACGGTGACTAGGGAGAAATCAGCCTGGCTATTTATGGCGTAAAACACGAATATAGAGACAGTTATCTACCTTTGTTATAGTAATCATCTCTGTGGTCAGCACTGTGCAAGGAAATCCTGATTTTGACAACTCCACGTGTTTATGAAACAGAGATTGCTTTATATTAGTGACTACTTGGTTGTTTACAATTACAATTTTAAACATTTAAAAAGTGCTTGCAGTTTATCAGTCGCTATCAGAGCTATTGTTGTTAAGGACCAAGTAAGTGCTATAGTAATGATTGACAGGTGTGACCCCAATGGTCACTGTGTGAGATCGCAACACAGATGAGGTCATTTCACTAACTCAAATATTTATAAAATCATGTCAGGAGTCAAGATTGGAATCTTGTGAAGCTGATGTTGTTTAGGAATTAATGATTATTTACTACCTAGTGCGTTTATAGATTTGAAATGTTCATATGTTGGCTCTTTAATTGATTTGACATTGGTGGTGTTGCATAAAATCTGTCAACATAGTGCTATATTGTGATACAGATATTAGAGATTCAGTAGAGACAGACTGATGCTGATCAAATGTTCAGACAAGGTGTTCATGCCATGGTGAATGCAAAGACCGAAACACTTGTAAATGGTTCTTAGTGTGGATGAAAATATGATTGTGAGTGGTGTGTTCAGTGTGAAAGTTACTATGTTGGGATATGAATGGTTCAAGTGTATTGGTTGACGAAGAATCACAGTTTTGATAGAAAAAAGCAAATTAAAATTGTGAAATGTCTTTATTGTTGGATTATTCTTTTATTCAGACTTTTGTTTTTGTAACATATGCAGGACATTGTAGGTCATATTATGTTGACTGCGATGGAGACATTGTAGAGGGTTTTTGATAGCATCTCGCTTCATGGACACGAGAATATGACATCTCCTCTGGTTACCAATCTGACAAAAGTCTAGCCAGAGGTGTTAGTGAAAACACTTAACAGACACTGGTACATGTTATACTTCCATATACATATGTCAGATGTATTTAGTTTGGGATGTAGTGGGGTCACATTAACACCAATTTTTTGTCATCAAAAGAAGAAAAAATGTATGGGACCTAGTTGTGCATGACACATTTATATGACACAAGTTTTATATGACAATAATTATAAGAGAAATCACACAAATCTGAAAATACAAGTTTAACTAATATCTATGTATCAAAGCACACAATAACAGATAATAATATCAAAATGAAGTCACAAGTTAAAATCTGAAAATAAGTACAAGTTTTATATGACTAATTATAAGAGAATTCACACAAATTTCACTGAGTAAAGAAGTTGATATTTCCAAGTACAGAGCGAAATATGGTAATTCTGCTGCTGATTGGTGGATGTGGCGGTTTAGGCGAACCCATATGCGCCAGTCGCTCTAGTGTGTTGGTATTGTTGTCCCACATTCTGGTGTTTTTGTGTCGTGGGAAGGCGATCGAAATGTACATAGGAATTATTTTTTATTTTTTATTAAATTACTTTTACGAAAATTACATATTAAAAAAATAAAAAAATAAAAAAAATAAAAAATGTTTCCAAGATTGTGATTATTGCATATATTCGTGTATAAATAGGGGAGTATTTGTGTGTGTGTTTTGTGCCCCGGGTCTAATACAACCAGTTACACCCGACAGTCGAGGACGGTACAGTATTTAGTCCTTTTGCCGGGCTTGGCTGATTGCATAGATTATCCGGGGAGTCCCTATAGTGAGTGCAATTTTAAATTTATAATAGTGTATGTATTTCTCAAAAATATTATAAGATTATATCATCAGAAAATAGGGGTAGATGGTAGGGAAAATAAAAATAAATAAATAATGGTTCTTATTATTAATATGAGTCTACAAAATAAAAAGGCCAAAATAGGTTAATGTTAATTAAAAAGAAGAGGAAGTAGGATTTGCCGTCAAAAAAAATAAGTTATATACTTTTATAAAGTACAAAAATATGTGAGGGGACCTATATTTCCCAGCTTTATGTGTTTACGTATTTACTACGTATATATATTGGATATAAAATATATTAAAAGGTTAAAAATGAAGAGATGCCAACTTAAATTGAACGTACATAAGTTAATTGAATCGATAATAATGAGGAAGAAGATATTATTATTCTTATATTTATAGTCGGTCAACTATTTCCTCTGTCACAGGAAAGGTTGAATAGAATATATGAATAAAAAGTTAGTCTCAAAAAAGATAGAATACATTTATACCCGTGTTGCCAGGCGAGAAATTCCCTTGGTGTCCTGACCGGATGTAGTCTCCCCTGATCCACACCATACTAAGGGATGTACGAAGATTAGCTTAATCGCAACTATGATACGCGTTTGCTACAACTACACACATGTACTTGTTTGGGTGTACGCTATTATTACATGTACTTGTTTATGTTTGTAAATGGCCATGCTGTGATGAAATCTGAATTTGACATTGTTAATTTTACCCATCAGTTATTCATTTTCTCGTGTCTCGTTTTCTGAAAAGATGAAGGCTGTTTGATGTAAACGTCTTCTTTTACGCAGATTTTTCAAAAACAGACGGTTTTTCCATTGAAGCATACTTTCACTTTCGTTTGTTGGTAAGAGGATACATCACGTGAGCTTTTTGACAATGTATCGTTGAGTTGTATTTAACTGCTACATGTATGTGAAGAAAAACTGTCCTACTTGCCTACTTGCGTGACGAGCATAAAGCTACCTGAAGAAATGCTCGTTCTATCAATAACTCACTGGTATTAGTAACATCACAGAAAATGAAGAACAACTATGTGGCCATGGGCTGTATACTTTACTTCCTTGCGTTCAACTGTTGTCTGCTCAAGGTAACAGCTATATGTGATCGGTACGAGGGCTCACAAGGAACATTTTCAGAATGTTTAAGGTTCCAAAACTTTGACTTCGTACCCCAATTGGCGACATGTCTGCCCAACAGGTACATCAACGAAACATCAAAGGGACGTTACCACTGTCCAGGAGATGGCATATACTGTTGGTATCCATGTATGTGTGACCTACATCAACAATGTGCTGGTGGAAGTGTGTCTATGGACTGCGCATGCGACCCTAATGACCCTGCCACTGAAAATGTGGTGGCTGTCCCAAAAACGTTACCACAATCCTGTTTCGAGCCTTCCGGTAACGAATGTTCCTGGTATGCGCACTGTTTCAGAAAGATGTATCCATGTGGCGACTCGCCTACAACAGTCGGCATCATAGCATTCATGGAACGGTTTTGTAAGCTTTGGTCTGACCACTATCACAGTTTTACATTTGGAGTGCGACTGTGGCTTGACCAGGCAAGAAAGTGTCATATCGCCACTCTATTACCATTGCTTTCACAGACTGATGGAATCACCACATGCAATGACATTGCAGCACGCGCATCCAAATCAAATATACGATGTATGACACTCGGACTTTATGCCTGTGCTCTAGACTGGACAGAAAAATTGCAGATATTTTGGACACTGATTGGGTCAGAGCCAGTGACATATGCTGACCAAATGCGAGAAATATGGGGATTCTTCGGTACGTCCGATCATTATAGCCCTGTAAGCGAGCGACTCTCTTTAAAATACAGCAACATTTCTTCTATAGAAATATTAGTACAATTGAAAACAAGAACAAGAAATCATGTGACTGCCGCTAAAATTACCGACAACCTGGCTACACAACGGGCCTGGACGAACAAAGGATTCATCTGGTTCGGTTACAATTCGGGATCTGATGCTACTGCTCGTGGGACCCAGTTCATGCGAAATCCACTAATGAACGTTCGAGTTATTTTCGCTCCAAAACAATACGATTTGAATGCACGAGATGCTTCCGATGTCAATATGGCTGAAATACACGAAGTGACGTCACTCGCCAATGCTGTACGTAACCGTCTACAATTGAGGATTGACGGCGACGTTGTAGACATAGTTTCTATGACAGCATGTAGCGACGTGGACTGCAAATTGTCGTATCTGTATGCAAAGGCACGTCCGATAAAACTTTCACCACACAAACCTAACGCAGCCTATGTGTTCAGAAGGTCGATTTGGTGCATGCTAGTTTGCGCTACTGTGACCTCTCTGATGTAGAGATGATGACTTAGTTTTACTTATGATGGAGAAACAGTATACAATACCTTGCTCTCCTAAAACTGACCTACAGTTGGTGGAAATAGACATTGACAGGATCCTGATACAGGTTTTATTGATACGTGCTGCCTAATGGTGCATTGTATTGTATTGTTCAAAATACATTATTTGTTAACAGTGAACGAAGTTATCTAAAATGTACGGTACGTCCAGGAAGCTGTTGACTATCATAAGACTGATCAGACACCTAAAGTAAAGGGACCGCCGACTCCCAGTGGCGGGAAAATATGTTACCGATTTCACAGTGCCCTCACCGGGTGTCATACAATATCAAGGCCGATAACTCGTACCGTCTATTCGCCATTGGTAAACACTAGAATGCTGTCGATAGAAATGTTGTTAAGCATCGATTTCACACAACATGAATTAAACGATCTGTTTGAGGTATGTGTGTTATTCTAATATAATATTCCCACACCTGAAATAGAAAAAAAGCAATACGTAAAGCATTATTCGTGGTCAATAACGTAATGTTTCAGTTTTTAGTCTGTGGTTTCACTTTCACTTCACCGGTCAGGTGCCGTTCTGGTGATAACCTCTTGTGAGAACATTCGCCTATTTTGTATGTCAATACTTGTCCACAATATATTTGTAATCAATGTGCCTTGTATGTATACTATGCTATGCAGTGAGCTGCACCCACATGTACAAGCTGACAAGTACACATGT